TAGAATTACAAGATGAAAGATGTCAATTGTCCTCTGCACTACTGCTAACAACAATGTGATGTGATAACAACAACATGACAGTTGAGGACACACCTGTGGACATTGCAGAGGATGATCGGACATCAGAGAAAATGTTTTGGATACGACAGTGTCTCTGTTTCTGTCTGAAGTCCTGAAGCTCACCATGTTTCTACATGCAACATTTGCTTACATGTCCACCGTGGAATTGTAGAGTAGGGCTGTCAAGTTTGAAAGACCCACACAGACAGACACACACACAGACATGTGTTGAAAAAATGTCCATTAAGAGGGACCACTGTATTGCAGACTGATGTATTCTGCTGAGAGAGGTCAGGTTGGATGGGTCGACAAAATGTCGAACTGCAAGTGATGTTGCTCATGTTTTTTAGTCAGTCAATGTCGACCAGGAATGTTCCATAAACTAACTAACTAGGTGGCCATGTTAACCCCAAAAACCCAGTGAACATTAACCTTTGCATTGTTACATCATAAAATGCATTTATTTCTTAGCAATAATGATGTGTGATACTAAAAAAATAATTTTATTTTATACTTTAGAGGACTTGGGCTTGTTGGGGATACTATTGTCCATTTAAACTCGCTCAGTATCAAGGTACATAGAGACCTGCTTTCGGACCTGCTGTTCTCATAGTAAGCAGATAGTGAATAGAAGGTGTGATACAGGTATTCACTTCCATTCCTAAGCCGGAGGACTGATAAGAACTAAAGGACTCAATCCACAGCCAGTTTAATACAATACGTGGTCTGATTCTGTGCTGAGCGATGAATAGAGATTGAGGGTTTAAGTTGCCGTGAGAGCTGCTACAGTGATAGTGATGAGAGTGTGTATTGGCAGCTTTATGCGTGCCGCTAACATGCAGCTCAGCACTGTGCACTGTAAATATGACGCCAGACAGTGTAGTGCGCAGGGAAGAGACGGGCAATGCATTTCAATGCAGAGCCGGCCAAGGTCAAACTCAAATGTTGCGAATGAGTCCAGGCTCTATAGAGGGCAGAGGAAGTCGCTCGGTTGCCTCGGCCACTAAGTCGCCGGGTGTCTGACGGAGAAAGTGAGTTTATTAAACCCAGCGTGACAGAATATACCTCCGAGTGGACAGTGAAAAAACAGTAGAAAGAGTCAGTGAGAGCAGTGAGAGCTCTGCAGCATGCTGTTTTATAACCTTAATTATCAGGACTCCTGTGGGCCTCGAAAACTCTGAGGTTGGGACTTTGATGAAAATAAAATTAAACCATAAATCCTGTCCTTTAAGTTGCTGAACATATGGAGCTGTAGAGGGGCTTGGTATGTGTTTGGCTTTGTGCCACAGTGTGGCTGAAAGGGTGGAAAAACCTTTCATATGTTTAGATGTAATTTAAAAATCTTATCAGAGCCACTTCATTACCAGCAGTCCTGTTCTTTTTCATTTCACTACAGTAACTACACATTTAAAAGAGTAATCTGCTGTGATTTAATCTGATTGCATTTATCTTTATGGTCCATACAGACAAAACAGTGCCATCTTATATCATTACACGGCAACTATTCTATAAACTAACTGATGCTTTTGAGGCATTAAACCCTGTGTTACTATTGAACTCTTTACAACAGGTATTTTGAGGTTTGATCAGAACATGTTTGAAATATATTCTTATTTTAAAAATGAGAATATGTAATGTTGTTGTCTTCAGTGCTGAAATTATTAGTTGATACGATGGATTGGTCAATAAACACTAAATTAATTGCAAACAGTTTTGCTATTAAGAATGTTAATTAAGGATTCTTATTCAGTGAAAAGTGATCTCCAGCAATGGCAATGTCAATATTAATACTTTTTCTGATATTAAGCAGGATTATGCTAAAATTGTTGTGTAGGAGACTGATATTTAAGTGTGTGTGAATTTTTTATGTAGATCCAAATAAAAATCGGGATCTAGTGAATTCAAATATGGTTTAATAATGGGACTGTTGGGTCCTGGCAAGTGTATGCACCCTACAGAGTAATAATCTACTTTCACTTCTATTTCTGTTCATTTTTTTTTTATTCTAGTGAAGTTAGCATGCTAATCAGCTAGCCATCATCTTGTCACAGTCCCATCATGAGTCACTGTAGCATCCATTCTGCCCTGAAGAAGTAGAGCAGCTCAGAGGGCGTAATATAACCTCCTGTCCTGTCATGGCTGAAGCTCTTGGCAAGCGACCATCACCACCATCACCACCCGCCTCTGGCTTTAAACCACATTCCACTGCAGAGAAAACTAACAAATAGCACTTTTAATTAGGCTGCTCTTTTCAGATGAAAATAATCTTGCTGCTGCTTTGAACTGAGCGATTGGGTTTTTGACTGTCATAGGGATTTTTAAGACATTACCTCGGGCCTTAGGAAATTATAATTGGCATTTTATGTGACTCAATCATTAGTTGCGGCCTTACATTTCTGCACCTTATGAGAAAGTCCAACCTCCTCGCCTTAGATTTCGCAGCCCTAATTGTCACCACAGCAATTCCACCAAAAGTCACAAACAATAATCACTCACAACTTGATATTTATCATAAAGAATAAATCTGGTGCACAGTAGAGGATCCATTTTTAGTTGAAAATAGCAAAAACACCAGTTTGAATGGAGTGAATGTAGATTAAAGTATTATGAACATGAGAACTAATAGTTGAAACAAACAGAAAAGAGTATCAGAAATTTCAGCTGCATCAGATCGACAGATATTGTTGCAACTACAGTAAATAAATGGACAATGTCTTTTTAGAACCAAGCTCCAAAATCAAATCAGGAGGTGACCACTTTAATACAAAAGTCAAATTGCCTTTTCTCCTGCTTATTGTCAAACCAGAGCAACCTCCAAACTCTCAAACTCTCAAACTCTGTAACCTCTGTAGCGCAAAATTGTAATTTCTTGCATGTGACGGAACAAGACTTTGAAAGGCATCGAAATGTCATTGAATATTATGTCTGAACAAGTGTTGGAAACCTGATAACATTCCACTGAGGGTCAAAGCTGGCTGAGCCGGCCGGCTGGCACCGTCACCGCCACTGGCTCTGCGATTAAGCCACGGGAGCCATTTTGGGGCTGATTATTCATGGTGCTACTGTACTGATGTTCCACTACACTGAATTCTCTCATTAGGTCACCCCGGCTCTAAAGGCCATTAAATTTTCAGTCAGTATGAATAAGTCAGGGAGTTCTGCCTGTGATCATGCCGTGCGAAGAGTCCCCAAACTCATCATAGGTACTCAGCAAAAAAAAAAAAAAAGCACAGGGGTAACATTTGCTCAATTAAATATGTGAGAAGGGCAAGGGTTGGCAGTGGGGAATATTTTTTACTTTAGATTTAAGGCCTAGCATGTGGTGCCAGAGAGCATTTCCAGAAGTATCGATTAGAATTTAGCTGCGGGTAAATGACTCCCAATGGGATCTCCTTGGTAACTGGAGCATTGCCAAGCCACTGAATGTCTAACTGACTTAATGCAGATATAAATCGCAATTCCAATCAAGGCCATTTTATTTGCGGGTTGAGTGGGGCAATACGTCACCCGCGGTACTGCGCGTTTTCGTCAATAAAGTCCTTTCAAATCTGTTAAACGCGTGCTGCACTGATGACATATGATTTATAACGTTTCCTTCTAGGGAAGAGTATTTGTTGCACAATCGCAGTAAACAGGTTGTTTAGGACTGTTGGCGTTTTGGGTCACTGGCTTGCCACAATTAATCATGATTGTTATGTGTTTTGCCTGTGAGCCTTTATTATGCTTTTCAGATCTGGACTTAAAGTGTGAAAAGACACGAGCGATTATTATAATTAAAAATCAACACCTTGATAGCTCGTAGCTTTAAAGGATTACCCTCCACTTCTAATAGATTGTTTGTATGAGCGACGACTTCCTGACAAAGCAAAGAGCACACCAAACTGGACTCTTAATGCAATCAACTAAAAAATGGAGTGGAAATTAAACTAACAACCAGAAAGGTTGCAGGCGAGGTTTTCCCAGAGCCTGCTGTGCCGTAGCAAACATTTTTATTGTTGTTTGCTCATGGCCGGAAAATGACCAGGGAAAACATAGACGAATGGAGCCATTGACTTCAAATACGACCCCATGAAAGCCGCAGCCAGAGCTCTATCCATCGCCCTCTATTATATTCATGAGTGTGACCTGTGGGGGGGTGAGAGGCGCCCACCTGCTCCACTGACACTGACTGCCAGATCAAACGGGCCTCCTCGCTCCCCTCTGCTCTGACTCTCTCGTCCCTTATAGGAGCCGACTGACCCACTTTTTCCTCCCTCCCTGCGCTATTACCTGGAGAAAATGGAGTGGAGTGGCGTGTGTGTGTCTGTGTGCGTGTGTGTGCGTGTGTGTGTTGGGTGGGTGGGTTTGCGGGGCCGAACAAAAGCTTCTCATCTTCACTTACTGTACAGATGAAGGCATAGCAAGGACTCCACAGAGAAAGCATGTCATTTCTTATTAGACACTATTGTACGTGAGATTGTTCCTCTAATGGTGTTTTGGCTCAGTCAGTGTTTCGCTTCTGTGCAGCAGCAGTTGAGATTAAGCGAGCCCACTCAGATCCAGTGCATGAACAGGAGGGATCTCATCGGGTCAGCCGGGTTGATTTGAAATCAACGAGACATGAGACACATTTGCCAAACAAATAGATCATTTGGAAAACACTGCAGGACCAAATGAAAGCGGTGATACTGCATAAATTCCATTGTGCAGGCGTAAATTGTTTACCATCCTCTGGGCTTTTTGGAAGGGAGAGCCATCGCTCATTGTTTTCACAGGATTAGATTGATATTGATTGGCTCTGACAACTAGCATCATGATACTTAGCGGCGGTGACCGTTTCTCTTTCAACCTGCATTGACTCTGCCTCTGTTGGCTCTTTGTGTTTCCTTCCTTTTCTGCCTGCCTCATAACCCACACTACATGTTTTATGTCCTTCTCACTCTGGGTCTTTGTCCTTGCAGGCCTCACATGGTGACAGAGTACATGGGCATCAGGAATGAGAGCTTTATGAAGATTGCTGCGGTGGGGACGTGGATGGGAGACTTTGTCACTGCTTGGATGGTGAGATTCCAACTCCTATGTTAACATCTGCAAGTTTGCATTTATTAAAAGAGTGATCCAAGTTTAATATCACCCTGTTCAGACTTTTATATTTTAACACTTCTAATTTTATGAAAGACATATTATCATAAAGTAAAATCTTTAGCCGAGCTGCCTGCGTAGGTTGATAATGTAAAGATATTTATGTTTCTGATGTCAGATTAAACACTAAATGAACTCTTTTTCTCCAGTGGGTAAAATTAATGCCCACCAAAAATGTATCTGATCAACATGATTTTACATTTTTATACAAAAAAGTATATAATAATGTTATTTAAATACATGACTAGGAAGACATTCTTATTTTTCATGAGATAAACTAAGACCAAATTTTCAAATGTAAAAAGTTGTCTCTACCATACACTGTGAAAAAGACAAAACATGTCCATCGATCTACAAGCACTTGACCAATCATAAGTCAGTCTCAGCTGTCATGTTTCACCCCATTCTTAAAGCATTAAATAACTCATTAAACATTACACTCTGGGTCCAGAAAGTTAAGTCAATACGGAAGTAGAAAGCTGTATCGTCCCATATGACCAGCTGAGGCTTTTATAGAAGCCGTGAATGCAGGTCGCAGGTAGATGGGCAATGCCCCCAAGTCTAATCCCCTCTACCAAATATGGTAATTTCTGGTTGCACTAAGATGGGGCTGACCTAATGTGAGGCTTCAACATAGTTCACAAACTACTGGATGAAGTCACTGTGGGTTGACGATTCATTTCTTTGTCCACCATTGTTAAAGATACAAAAATAGCATTTATACCACCACAGTTTCTTTTTATTGTTTGTCATAAACTTTGCAGGGCTTCAAGTGTGGCTACTTTTAATCCTGTTTGTAGATCACAAAAAAAGTTCATTAAAACCATAGGGTTTTATGATTGAAGCAATTTAAAGCCATTTTTCACAAACTCATCAAAGTTCTCAGTGAGGCTCAACCATTACAGCTGCACACCAGCCCAGTTCAAATCCTCAGGGTAACGTGGATGTGATCTATGGAGGGTCAGTGGAAACAATGGATGGACAGTGAGGGACAGACTTTATTAGAGGAGAAACGTCCCTCTGTTCATTTGTCAACATAAAGAGACGAGCAGAGCTCCAGTGGGAGTGGACTACCTGTGGTGGGAGGAGTGGGGCTCTGACACCAGCATGCACACAGATGAGAAAAACTGACAAGCTCCCTCTCCAGGTCACATTAGTATTCAACAGTAACATACTGCAGAGAAGGAAAGATGGAGGAGGAGGAGTGAGAAACGGAGGTGAAGGGGAAAGAGAAGTCTGTTTGGAAGAGAAGCAGCGAGTGAGGAAGTGAATCAGAGCGACAGGGGTGTGTGTGTGTGTGTGTGCGTGTGTTTATGAGAGAGAGAGTGAAAGTAAGGCCATGGCAAAGTGCTGATTCTAGAAATTACTCACAAGGTTTTTTTTTTTACATTCAATTAATTCAACAAGGCACTTGAAGATGACCTCTGTGTCTCCTACGCATCGCAGATTTAAAGCGTGTCTTCACCAGATGAGCGGACAGGAAGTGTCTGTTTTTGTAACGCTGCAAGAACCCAGAAACATCTCACAGATTGCCTCATTCAGGTTCTTTTTCCTACACGAGCTACAATATCTGCAGCGAGGCACTTTATTGACAAATCGACCTTGCCTCTGCAGCTACTCCACACAGTGTAAAAAATGTTTTCTTTTGTACACATTTCTGAATCCATGAGAGGAAATCTACGATGAAATCAGAAGAGGTGGTCTTGTTTTGGATCAAACCGAACGATGGTTTGGTTCGTTTGTGCTGTGTGAATTTGTTTTTAGATTGTTTACACTTGAGTTGAGACACCACTAAACAAGAGAGGAATAAAAGAAGTGGAAGCAGCTCACAGGATTGTTTGAGATGAGGACGTCCATTTGGTGCAGTCAAACTAGTGTTGAGTGCTGCGCCTGTAGCTCATGATATTTGAAATAAAATAATTTAAATAGCCACATAGCTACATTCTTAATGTCTCGATATAAATGCATTATTTATCAATGTTTATTATTTAGCAGTTGTTAGCATATGTATAATTAAACTGTGTAATTAACATGTATTCGGTCAACTAGAAAGTGGGACAGTGAATTCTCATACGTCAACACTTTCTTGTATTTAAAAAACTGTTCTTTTTTAGGTTTACATGCAGCAACTTCACTGCCAAAACCATGCACACCCAATCTTACATCAATATGTGATTATTGAGTAACTCGTTCCAAAACCTTTTGGTGTTTATCTGCTGTTATTTCATTTCCTCTCTATTGGAAAGGTTTCCCATCAGAGTTCTGGGACGGTCAGTCACTATAGTGCATTAGTGAGATCAGCTACTGATGCTGGCACACAGTCCACTTAATCCTAAAAGTGTTGGATCAGTTTCAAAGGTGACTCTTGAAGCGGTAGAAGCTATTTTTCCTGTTTCCGTTCTTTATGCTATGATAAGATTAACTGTCTGACAGATTCATTTCCTTTACTTCCAATTAACTCAGTCATTTTATGCATCTTAAATTCTGCAGGTGACAGATATGATGCTCCAGGATCAGCACTATCCAGACTGGGGCAAAGCAGCCAGGAGATTCTGGAAACAAGGCAACAACAGGATTGTTCTCTTCTGGTTTGTAGAAATAATTGTCTCTCAGCCAATCTATAAATGTGTCAATTTATATAACTCAAATCCGTCAAGGAGGTTATGTTTGTTTGTTTGTTGGTTAGTTTGTAATAAAGAAGTAGAGCAAAAAAAATGTGTTTGTTCTAAAACAATTGACCAGTAGTGGACATAAGATGTCTAGTAGCTACCAGCTCACTGAATTTATTATATATTCTTATGTGGCTCTGTGTGTTTGTGTGTGTGTGTGAGCATGTCTATCTGTAGTTATGAGGGCCAATTTTGGTTAAATACCATCATTGTGAGGACATGTTGACGTCATGAGGACATTTTGGCTGGTCTTCACAAATTCAATGGGCTTTTTGAGATTAAGACTTGGTTTAAGGAGGCATTTAGTTGGATGGTTAGGGTTAGAATAAGGGGCTAGGGAATGTATTATGCGGATGAGTGTCCTCACTAAGATAGAAGTACAAACGTTTGTGTGTATAAAGGGTGTGTTTGTGTGCGTGTGTGTTGCGTGGTTTCTACAGCCCGTTGCAGGGTTACACGCAGTCAATAGCCGTGTTAATCTTCCCTCACTCAGTGTCAGCACCTTTAATTAGAAGAACAGGGTGAAAATCAATGGACACAGCAAGGTCACAAGGCGAACCGTAACCCCGCCTTAGTTTTTTGTTCTCGCACCACAAACTGTGACCCTTAAATAACCGCTAAACAAATCGTCTGATATGCACATTACTAGAAAGCCGTGTAGAATTGGGCTCTGTATAAATGTGTTACACAGTCGGTCCCAGCAGCGTTCATTCACTCGGCTCGCTGCTGTCAGTCAAATACGACTTCTGTGGCGGGTTATTTTAGGGCCTCTGTGAGAAGTAAAGAAGAAGAGGATGCAGTTGAAACTGTCTGACGTGTGTTTGATACGTACACTGACAACTCCAGACTCAGACATCTCAAACCCTGGCGTTTAACATTTCCTCTTGTAGCATTGATTCACCTGTGATTAGAATGCGAGCTGACAAATTGTTTCTGCGACTTTCTCCGCAGCCCTTCATTTTATTGACGGACTGGCACTGTCACAATCAATGCTAGATTTGAGGAGCTATCATTTGGAATTCAGAGCTTGAAATATGATTGATGAATGTGTCGCTGGTTTGCGTCTCGTCGATATGCGGCTGAGGGGTCCTGGTCAAAGAAAGAATGTCCATGTGGAATAATAAAATCCCTCAAAACTTCTCTCCCTCTAACAGTTGAAATGGGATAAGAGCTGGCATGCACTATCTGCAGTGCCGCCAGCCGACGTGTGTTGTGGGCTGCACACACCACAGTAATCGCTGGGTGACATTGAGACAAATTACAGCGGAGAATAACACTACAACATTTGTCATTGTGCCGCTCTTAAGACGGTTGAGGAATTTGCCCGTAAACAGCGAACGCAGAATTACTGCAATGTGACATAAATGACATGAAATTCAACAGCAGCTGCAGGTAACTGAAACATTTTGGCTCGTGTTAAATATGTAAATACATGGAAATGTGTGCAGCAGCGGTTGTGAATTGCATTGTCTCTGCATGCAGACAGTTTCTCCTTTCTGCACCTTCATCTTCCTGGAAGCTTTATCCACAGCCATTTTTCAAATGCAGGTAAAATGGTTGTTCGATACAATGAGCCTGTGAGAAGAGAAAGTGAATCGTGTTTGATTTATCTCCTCTTGTAATTGACATTAGAGGGTTGTTTGTCTTCTGAGATGCACAATATCAACTGTGCACCTCATCCAGATTGAAGTTATACAATTATACATGTTTTATTCAAGGTCTTGTACTTTTTAATTCTCGTCATTCAGATTTTTTTTCCCTCTCCTCTCTTTTCTTTCATTCCGTCTCCTCCTTTTTCCTCATTACCCTCCCGCCCCTCTGTTCTCACTCCTCTCCTTGGCTCTCTTCTCTTCTTTCTTTTCCTTCCACTTCTCTCCTTCCCTCTTTCATCTTTCTTTCCTCCTGTTCTTCTGTCTTTTCTCCCTCACATCTCTCCTCCTCTCCTTCATTTCCTTTCCTTCCTCACATATCCTCCCCTGTCCTCTCTTTTCTTTTCACTTTTTCCTCTTGTACTTCATCTGTGCTTCCCGTCTCTCCTCTTTTCTTTTCTTGGTTATCCCGTCCTCTCCTCTGCCTCGTTTTCTTTTCCTTCCTCTCATGTCATCTTTTACCCTCTCCTCTCTTCCATTCCTTCCACTTTCTCTCTTATTTTCCTCCCATTCTTTAATTTCCTATTCTTTTTCCTTCTTTCTTTCCCTTCCTCTCTGTTTCCTCTCCTTCCCTCTCATCTATTCTTCTCCCTTTTCCTTCCACTTATCTCCTCCCCATGTCTTCTTCATCTGTACTTTTCTCCCTATGTCTCTCCTCTCTTCTCCTCTTCCTCTCCTGCAGGGCAGTGCTCATCTCTCTGACGTCAGTGGTGGTTCTGGTCATCAGTACGGACTGGATCAGCTGGGACAACCTGAACCGCGGCTTCCTGCCCAGCGATGAGGTCTCCAGAGCCTTCCTGGCCTCCTTTATCTTGGTCTTCGACCTTCTCATTGTCATGCAGGTATACCGCTCTCCTGTGGCCAATTAAAATAAAAAAAGCTGGGACATCTCTTGGCTTAGTCCCCTACTCATCCTGCCAGCCCCCAACACCCGCCCCTCCCAAAATCCTATTCATCAATGGGGCACTGCGGCACAGAGCAATGAGACGGGTGTTTGATCACTTTCAGCTGGCACGGACACTAACCCACACACACACACTCACACCAACTCATCTATAGATACACAAACTGTTGTTTACTCCTCAACGCTCTGCACCCACCCCCCACCCTCTTTCCCAGGCTTTGGCGATGAACTCACCCACTCCCTCCCTTATTCCCTCGTGAGCCTAGTTTATTTTCTTTAATGATGACTCACAAGATTGGAGTTTTTCTCACTTTCTCTTTCTCCCCTCGTTTTTTTTCCCTCACCCTTTTGCAATGTCCTCCCTCCCACAGGAGAGCATACATCAATAAAGCCTGTGTCAGTGGCTCATGAATATGTAAATGTGTTTGTCTGGGGGGGAAAAAAAATGCAACTCATAAGTGTGTATGAGGAGACTGAGATTGAGGAAAAGATTTTTTTTCATGCCCACTAGTCAGGAGCCAGAGCTGCAGGCCAATCATGTATGTGGTTGGACTGCGACTAGTCTAATTCAACACGACTCGTCTCCTCCAAACACTTAATGATCATATTTCACTCCGCCTTGCTGATGGGTATTAGATGGCTTGTTGCGAGACGAACATTTGGTGTCCTCCAAATACACGTTTATACTCTGTTGATTATGCTAATTACTGAGAGCCTGCAACTGCAGGAGAGAACATCTTCTAGTGTTACAAACACGGCTCTCCACAGAAATCTGGAAAGAACGGCACTGTCTTAATTCCCATGGTGATACGTGTTACAGCAGCTGTACCAGTGAAAGTGATACCTCGACTTATTTATAAAACAATTTGTCATTTTAAGGAGGGAGTCTGGCTGCTCTGGGCAGTAATTACTGTGCACTGTGGTGTTTTTCTCATTCATTTACTCAATTATTGTAATTATGCAGATGTATAGAAACAGCTTAGTCTGGAGTATATTCATGCTTTTTCCCTCTTGTTTTGCTTAGTCCAGCTTTTTCCACCTCCCTGACCGTATCGTCCTCACGTTCCAGACCGAACATTAACACAAAGTGTCTGTTTAGACATCTCCGTTTGACTCCTCATGCCAAGCTGAACCTGCGACTCCCTCTCCCTTGAACTCAGCGCTATATCATACCCCTGCTTGCACACTTGCTCGAATTTGTTTACGACGGGCCCTTCTCATTTTCTGCACAGTGTACAGCAAGAACATTTACTACAGCTATTTATGAGTTTGAGTTAACTTACGCCGTTACAGAGGCCATCCGCTGGCGGCCATCACTGTGCTCCACCAGTCAATAAAAATTCATCCAGCTCTTCCCAACAGCTTTATTCTCCTCCATCTTTGGAGCGCAGGGTGCCATAGTTAATCTCTTACATCCATGAGAAAAGGTGGGTGTTGTTGTTCTCAAACTAATTAATTCCCTCAATTAATGACCTGTCTAGATTTGCCTCCAAGCAAGGTTTTACTTTTTTCAAATATATTTGCACATATAATTGTACTGTTTCACTTCATATCTACAGCTGACTGTGTGTATGCACATGAACATTTACATATATAGATTATTCCCTGACACACTCTTCCTGTATATGTTACAGAGACTCATTGCTTTGTGGTAGGGAGTGAGGTGCCTGGTTTAAATGCCATGCCTGGTAATACTATAGCAACAGATACTGCAGCTATGGAAGAGCAGAGCAGGCTTTAATTAATATCCAGGGGGCCATCACCAAGCTGTTATGCTGTACATAGATATTGGCATGGGACAACTCTGGATCGCATGAGGATAGTGGATGCAGGCATGCGGTAATTACATGCAGCAACACACTGTGCAGGAGCTGAAGGTGAATGTACAGCAAATTTGTTCTGTTTTAGTGAAGGTTGATTTGTGAGATGATTAATTCAGATCAGTGGAAGGAAATATTACTTTTCTCCTCTCTTTGGGTCTGTGTGAGATTTTCATGTCATGCATGTTTACTATTTAATTTTCATGCTTTCATAATGCAAAGTATCTAGTTACAATTACATAAGTGAATATACATGAATGAATGAAAAATATATAGTAACCAAAACTTTTAAAAATTATTTATGCCAAAATAAAACAATTGCAGCATTTACTTATCATAAGATTTTTTTTAATGAAAGGAACCATGTCCAGTTTAGATTACAGCTCACAAAAAAAGTGCAAGTTAGTATGTTGGGTAAAAAATTAGGAACGAGATTAATCTTATTATAGACGCTGACTGATATACAGTATATCTGGGGACAGATGATATTGGTTGGTAAGAGCTTTTTGCTGATATGCACCAATATAAAACATTTTATTTTACAGAAGAGATGTGGACTCATGTTTACATTTTACAGAAAATATTCTCTCTATATATATATGGTTGTGTTTGTGTTATATTTTTATTTATAGTTAATTATAAGTATGGTTAATCTGTAAAATATCAAACTTTAATTACATTTATTTGTCATAAGGGCTTGATAAAATCTTACAAATCATTGCCAATTTAATAAAATATAAATATAAAGGCTGATACGTTGCAGGATCGGCATCAGCCCTTAAAAATCCATATTGGTCGGACTCTAACAATGTTTTATATAAACTCAATGATTTACTGTCTGTTACGGTTTAAGGAGCAGGTGGGATAAAAATGCAGAAGCAAGGCAGGAGCAAAGTAAACTCACAAAAGGTTTCCTTTAGTAAAGGTAGAGTTCTTACAAAAAGACAAAATCCCCAAATCCATGAACAGAAAAACACTGGGGTAAAAAAACCCCACAAGGAACAGGAAAAAGTCACGAGTGACAGATAAGGGACAATGAATTACGACAGGGGGGCGACAAAGACAAAGGGAAGCACAGAGACTTATATACACAGGGGAGGCAGGGTTGATTGAACACAGGTGAAACACATGAGGAAGAGGAGCAGACAATCACAGGGGCGGGAAACAGGACAAAGACAGGAAGTCAAGGTAGAGACACACGAGGAACTTCAAAATAAAACAGGAAACACAGACCTCGGAATGAAACAACTGAACACAAACCCAAACACAAGGAAGCACAGGGAAAAGTCCACTTACCAAAAAGTCCACAAACCAAAGAGTCCTCAAACAGATCCAAAACAAAAATATCCAAAATACTCTTCATCTAAGAGGCAAAGTCCAGAGAGTCATGACACTGTCCCTCTCATTCTTCACCAATTAACTGAAACCAGCATTGTTCTCTCAGCTCATGGAAATGTAATGTTTTAGAGATACACAGATACAAAGATATTTTTAGAAACATTTCCCTCTAAAGTTTCTTTTACCTGTAAAATTAAATTCACATTATTTCTGAATAATGCCCAATGTGCATACAAGCAAATGCATAAAGACATTACCTCACTAATAATAAATAATAATAAAAAATGTGTGTGAAGACGCTAGCTACCAAATATATCCACATCCCCAGCAAAGAGAGCTAAGTGACACCACAGGGCAGTGGCAGCTTCTAAATGTCAGTTTGGGGTGCCTGTTGATGTGTTTTGACGTGTTGAATTCCCAGTGCACATTAGTGCACTCTACCAGCCTGTAAACACAGTGTTGTCTACAACAGCTGGCACCGTGTTTGACCTCGAGTCAGCATATGAAAAGACTCCACAGAGACTTAATATCAGCTAATATGAGAGAATTCAGTGAAGTGTCCGACATCCAATAAAGTATGATACATGGCTGACATCGGTCATGTTGGTGTGTTATGTAAATGTGCTCAGTTGTCTTCAGCGTGTGTGTGTGTGTGTGTGTGTGTGTTTTTTCAGGACTGGGAGTTCCCTCACTTCATGGGCGACCTGGAAATGAATCTACCAGGGATGTCAACAACGCATGTGAAGGTCAAGCTCCCCGTCTGCAAGCGTATCTTTAAAGAGGAGTATCACATTCACATCACAGGTACGGCTGCCGCATACAAAGAGCAGCATCATCTTATTGTTTCAAGACGAGTTCATCTACTTTTCCTGAAGAGTTCCTAACGCCCATATTCATAAACTGATTAAGTAGCAGAAATAAAACAAAATGTCCACGAGGGAGACGTAACTTTGGCCTATTTCTGAGGAGAACTGTGAACACTGCTGTGGCTGCTCCACTTTCCCACTTTCCTCAGTTGGGAAACAGTTTGATGGTGAAACCACAGCATTTATAAAACATGAGCAGCTGATGTGGCACACAGGTGCCTCCACCGCTGTAACTTTTTTTCTTGTTCATCACATTCCTCCCTGTCGTGCGAGACGCATCTCTCATCCTATTTCACATCTGTGTCTCTCATTAAAAACCATCCTCCTGGTTTCTCTGTCTTGTTCTGCCGTGTGCACACGGTGACTCGCGACCATCAAGTGAAGGCAAAAGCAATGTTCCTGATCCAAATGTTAAGCTTTTCAAACACGCAGTGATTCGCAAAAGGTTGTTAACCCTAATGCATTGCATATCCATTAAGCATTATGGAAATGGTTCCTGTGCAACGTGATTGGTTTAACTAAAAGCTTATTAACAACATATCTTGGGGGAGAGGGAGGGAGCGATGTGGCGTATACCCAGGGAGACATCTGCCTGCTATCAGTCTAACTGGGGAGATAGCTGTCTGGTGGTAATGTAGTGATCTCGTTAGAAGAGTGCAGAGGAAGTAGCACCTGCAAATGGATCTATCTGTCTCGGTGCATGAGCTACATGCAAAGAGAGAGGGACTCCTGATAAATGAATGTGACAGTGTGTGTGACTCAGACCTCTGAATGTTGTTTAGAGTGGGCTACTATCGTACATCTGACTAAAGGGAAACTGCACACTTAAATGTGCTTGAGCTGTAAATTAGGTAATTCAGCTTTAGCAAGCTAATCAGTATGTTGCGTGTGTGTTAAATATGTCGGGGGGGGGGGGAGAAAAAGATGGGAGGGGCAGTTAGGCGTGTGTTAACCCAGCCTCCTAGCACTGCGTTCTAAAGCCATATTTTGAATTTCAAGGGAGAGAAACTTCAGTGTATGGTTAATCATCGCTTGTCTGTATGTTTCTAATGTAAATACATCACATGTCTCGTTACAGGTAAGTGGTTCAACTACGGAATCATCTTCCTCGTGCTGATTTTGGATCTCAACATGTGGAAAAACCAGATCTTCTACAAACCCTACGAATACGGTCAGTATGTCGGGCCTGGTGAGAAGATCTACACAGTGGAGGAACCAGAAACACTTAGGCTCTTCAACCACAGCACGCTCACCTACGAGTGGCGCTCCACCAACATCAACCCCGCCACTAACCTGAGCTACGTGGAGCGGGACATGTTTCTCCACAGCCGCTACGTCGGAGCCAGCCTGGACATCAAGTGCCTGGCCTTCATCCCTAGCTTGGCGGCTTTCGTCCTTTTTGGTTTCTTTATCTGGCTCTTCGGGCGATTTCAGGACAGTGAGACCTTCACAGAAAACCAAGACAAATCGTATGAGAGGATAAAGAGGAAGTCGCCGTCTGAGTACAGCAAGGACATGGGTGTGACACCGGAGGAAACACATATGACGATGAGCGACAGTTTGAGACGATCGGGAACGCCCATGCTTCTGTCAGTGGACGAGCCACATTTCGGAGTGACGCCCTCCACAAACTCGACTATTTCCATGGAAACCCAAGAGACGCATCCAAGCATTGTGATTGACAGTGCAGACCAAGAGGAACCAGCAGTCTCTTTTGATGTCCACAAGCTTTCTCCATGACCTTATGAACTCATGAGACTTTTAACTATATAACTGCTGAGCAAGGGATCAATATGTGGCTCGTCTAGATTGAGTTGAGTTGTTGCTTTTCTTCTGATTAGACAGAAAGAAGTTAACACAACTTGTTATGAGAGTCAAGTGGAGGACAAAGTGAGATTCACCAGGCTCATGTGACAGCTGCTGCAGTTGTATTGATATATTTTTCTAAACCAACTTTTTAAACGTAAAGCCAGAGATACAGCACCAATTTCCATATCAGGATGGAAATGAAAACAGAATGCAAATACCTAACTGACATGGTGCTCACTCCAGTTTTGCATTTTCATAATTCAACTTTGTCATGGTAACTATTTCGGTGCCTATATCAGAGGAGTATTTCTACAGTCGTATCACACCTGTATTACAGATACAGTTAGTGCCTATATATGATATGATTCAGACAGAAACATATTATAACTGTCTATACTACTATAGACAACAAAATGGAAGATGTCCCTGTTATGGTCTGCTATGTTTATGTTAATGTTCTATATATGCTTTCAAACTCCATGGACAATTGTTACCTCATTTGATTGTCAGACTTCATCATTTTAATTTATTCTCATGTGGCATCTCTCTTACTCAAGTTTAAACGCATCAGTCTTGTAGAAATGATATGATTGATATGAACATCAATATATTTTGATGATCTATTTATACACCCTCGCTTGATATTAGTTGCAGTGATAATAAATGCAATCAGCAGAGATCAAGTACCAAATAAATGAGCCCACCTCATGATTGCTTATGTGGCTGCTGCACCAAGACTGAATACCAACAGAGCGAGAAAGGTGGTTTTGCCCTTGGCATAAACATGCATTTAAAGTGCAGGTGAAGGCTTTTGCTCCAAAGCTCAGGGCTTCTTTATGTCTAGATAAACCTTGAAAGTTTTAGAAGCAGTATTGCGGCCATGGTAAATGCATGGAAAATATTTATTTGAAACATCCTACAGTAAAAACATATATCCTTGGTTTCAAACACAACTTAAACCTGCAGCTTTTATCTTTACACTGGCTTTGAAAGTGTTGCTCCCTTTTGACATTATTTTCTTTTGGTGTGCCATTTCTTTAAAATACAAATATTTTTGGTTCAAAAAAGTGTCAAGATTGATT